ATCATGTGAAGTACAAGTAGTCCTCAACCTATGTCCACAATTGATCCCAAAATTTTTGTTGCTAAGTGAAACATTTATTAAGTGAATTTTGCCCCATTTTGCTATGGCTATTAAGTGAATCTTGCAGTTGTTAAATTAGTAACATGGTTGTTAAGTGAATCTGGCTTTCCATTCATTTTGCTTGTAAGAAGATTGCAAAAGGAGATCACATGATCCGGGGACATTGCAACCTTCGTAAATATGAACCAGTTGCCAAGTGTCTGAATTTTGATCACATAACCATGGAAATGCTACAACAGTTGTAAGTGTGAAGAACAATCACAAGTCACTTTTTTCAGTGCTGTTGTAACTTTGAACGGTCTCTAAATGAACTGTTGTTTAAATAGAGGACTATCTTTATTCCTAGATGCGTTAATACCCTGGTTGTATTATGATTGTCCTATTGCTACCGATTAGTATAATTTCACCATAACATGTTACAGTCATGAACTTTATTTATGTGCTACATGAAAGGGGAGCCCAATTTTAACTTGAATCTTTAAATATTTAGCTTTGCTCGATAACAGGGCTAAACTAAAATGAAATAAGAAAAATTACTGTTTACATCCCACATTGATTGATGGATTATTTGCTATCAAATCCAATGTTGACTTGAAACGACCACATAGATAGATTTTCTCCATGACAACATCCCACATCTATTTTTCTATGCCTATATCTTGTTTCCTCTTAGAAAAAACATGGCACTTTTAAAAAAACGAAACCTCCTGGGAACCATTGAGATGGATTAGAAGGAAGAAGGTTGGAAAGAATCCCACTTCGTGATCAAATTTGGTAAAGGGAAACATTACATCATGTAAACTTTCATTAAACATTCAAGGCATTTTTCAACCAGGTATTGTAGCAACTCATAATTTTATCATTATAGGTTGTTTTTACTACTGACTACACAACTGATATCCTCTCCTGTGGTTAATAGGTTGCTAAAACTAATTGGAGCAACTTGCTGCCATTTTTCAGAAAAAGAACCATAGTGTCACTTCTGTGGTTCTCAACTTCTAAAATGAGTTTAATATAGCTTACAAAAAATAAAGGCCAAATCTTAGTCCAACCAATTAGATTATCATTTGGTAGCCTGTATGCCTTGGGTTCCTCCTGAATCTTAAATGTGGCCCTCAGCCTCTGAAAGCTTGCCCTACTTGATATAAAGTAGTAGCCTATAGTGTGCAACACATTGGTTTTATTTCTCATTGCTGTTTCCACCTATACAGTATAATCAAATAATTGATTCTGCCCTTTTGCCAATTAGGCCCATCAGATGGTAGCCCATATGTCTCATTATTCCTGTTCAAAATTCTCTGTATCACGATACTAACATGCCTCTTCCTTTTGAACCATGGAAGACCTGCTCTCTAACAGTCCAGACATAGAGAGTAGACACTGTCCTGGACACAACAGAATGCCCCACCTCAAGATCAGCTCAACAGGCTACTACAAAGAGAAGGAAAAGAGATTCCCATCAACTTTGTCTTGACCCATGTGGCAAAATCACATCATTTATTGATCAATATAATAGACCGTGAAGCTCCTAATACACACAAAGCTGTTATTTCAGTATTCCTTAGTCAAAAATTTGGGATGGGTCCTCAACGATGTCTGTAAGAGCATGAAAGAGAAAGTGAAGAAGTCACACAGAAGTGCTCATGTCTCAAAAACTTTTCCCTATATGGTGATATGTGTGCATGCCTCATGCCAGGAGATATAGTGCAAATATGGGTGTGGGTAACTTTTTGCTGTGTTCCAGGCTAATTCTGAAAGATAAAAACTATCATGAGCATTTGATGAGTAGGAAAGAGGAAGATGTACCAGCTGTACTTGCTAACAAAGTTCATGTTTTTGGATTGGGGGGGGGAATAGTATGTTCTGCCACATCCAGTTGAACATGAAGTTGAGAAGGCCTGCTTTGGGGTGTTTATTACAGCTGTTTAGGGTTTTACATGTCATGCCCAATAGATGGATCCAAATGAGCAGGACTGTAAACGTAGCACTTATCTACAATTCTCTAAAGCAGCTCTACTTTTTCCTAGGATCATGCAGCAGCTCGTTTTAAAAGAGTTGGAGGAAGGTATTATGTTTGTATCCATATTCTGAAGCATCTTTCTGGAATCAGTTCCAAGGCACTGCCCAGGTCTAGTGTTGATGTCTAACATTCCACAATAATGTTCTTATGGGGCATTTAAACATAGGGTTTTTCCATATGGCCACTGCTTTCACTCCCCAGAAATACCATGCCTATATTTGCCCTCGTGATAGCTGACCTGGAATTGTTGAGAATCCCCCATAAGCCAAAAGGTTGGTCCTTCCAAACTACCCAATTAGATAAAAAGAGCACCCAACTAGTGCCTGTCCTATTCTGCATTGTGATTAGTGTTTGGGAATTTCTAAAAATTAGAGTATTTGTTCTGTGGGAAGGTGAAAAATCAAAACAGACCCATCCTTCTGCTCAGTTCCAGAGACGGATGAGATGCAGGCATGAAGCTATGGGCATGGATCATAAGGTGTGAGAAAGGACCCAAGAGCTCTCAACTGGGGTAAAGCAGGCTGTCTCAATGCTTTAGTATTTTGAAGGAAAATCAGATTTGCAGTGGTTTTTTTTTTATATATCACGATGAGCTTGAAACAAATCAGTTCAGCCGACCAGAGGGAAGATGATCACAGGGACACAGCCACTCTAGCAATGCTGCCAATGTTTCAAGACAAGTATTCACAAAAGTTGGATCTAGTTCCTGGGAGTCTTCTGAAATAAACTATTTTCTGCAGTGTGCTTTTCTCTGCATCATGAATTTTCTTCCTAATTTAGCGTAACTGTTGCCCTTTGTTAAGTTCCAACACAAACCAGAGATATAGTCCCATGCTTTAGACCAGGGATCCCCAACCTTGGCAACTTTAAGACCTGTGGACTTCAACTCCCAGAATTCCCCAGCCAGCCAGCCATGCTGCTTTAGAATTTTAATAGTTGAGTTGTAACTTGTGCGATTTCCATACAGATGTTGGCATTCTGAGACCCAGTGATGGGTTACATTATATTACATAGTTCACCACCACTTTGGAACCATTGGACTTTTGAGGATATGTTGCAGATGCTCTCACCAAAGGTTATTGGGAAGTTACAAAGCATTTATTTATTAGGAAGCAAGCTGATGAGAGTACTCTCTGAATCTCTCCTCTCAGACATTTATTACTTCTTACTTGCCCACCTACAAATGCCTCTAGAGACAATCAAGGTAACACCGGAATTAGTGCTTTTGCTTTAAAGCTTGCCAATTTCCTTTTTTTCCCTTTAAAAAAAAGTAAAATTAAAAAAAAAGTTTTTAAAGAGTCAGACTTTTAAAGAGTCAGATGTTGCAGTGACCCCAGCAGGCAGGAAAGGAGATATGTTAGGATACTATTAGAAATTCAAGCTATCTTCTATGTTCTTCATAATGATAGGATGGTTATCTAAGCATCCAAGAATAATTTTAATTTCTCTTCCTTGTGAAATTGTGATAGGGAAATTTCTTGAACCAGAGCCCTGTTAAACCATTAACACGACCACGCTGCTCAATCCTAGACCATTTTAGCTGTTCTGTATCTTTATCTGTGGGGAAGTTTCTCTGGGCTATTCCAGAGGTTTTTTTTTTTTTTTTTTTTGCCAGCACACAAGATTTTATTTAGTGGTACAATTAACTTTGCATAGTTGCTGTGTGAAACATCTACATGAGTCTTCACCAGGATTCATTTCTTTGGGGAAATACCTAGACAGTGCTCCTACAACGTAACAAAAAACTGTATCAATGAACAGACTGCCACCTTATTTAACACTTGGAGGGGTAATAAAAAATTGCATTCACCCTACATGGCATGCAATACCATGTAAAAACCTACCAAAACTTCAAACTTGATTTATCCAATCTTTTAACAGAGATTACATAAAGTAGCTTGGTTATGCATTTCTTATTGATCCTCCCCCCCCGCCCCTTGATGCCCTAAGGGGCTCATTCAAGAAGGCGGTGCTGCAAGTCCGGATTCACCCTGCTGCAAGGTGATCTGTTTGCTTTTGGGTTGCTGCTGCTGTTTTAATCAGCGCAAGCCAAGTACCTCAGCATGAGTGGTCAAGGAGAGGAAATACTCGGGGCGCCCAGCACACCGAGCCACCTGTAGGATAGACCAGATCGCCATCCCGCACAACCGGTGAGCGGCAGGGAGCAAGCCACGACCTGGCCCAGAAGTAGCAACCCGTTGTCATGGGAACGGAAGGTGTACGCGCACGAGGTGAGGGGTAGGGGTTCTTGCTCCCCGTTTCTTTCGGCGGACGCGGCTGCGGGCTGCCTTTGCTTTTCCCGCTTCTGCAAGGCTCGCCCCCTGCCAGTCCTTCCACTCGAGCTCTGCTGTTCCACCTCCCGCCACCCCCCCCTCCAGTTCTGCTTTGGGGGCCGCCGCCGAGGTCTGAAGGACTTGGCCGCTGCTGAACAGACCCAGCAGCGTTGGTGGTGGTTTGGGGGGGTGGGGGGTGGCGGCGCGCTCGGATTGGCCCGAGCGCGCATGCTCTCGGCGCCCCCGCTCGGGCGCGTTCGGCTCGGTTCGGCTATTTCCGCCTCTTTGTTGTACTAACTCCCGACCGGAATAATTTTTTTCCCCCTACTAACCTTCTTCTGGTTCTCGTTTTCGTTTGGTTTTTTTAAAAATCCTCCCCAGTCTCTTCGAGAGTCTAAAGGGGATCGGGCTCCCTCCCTCGTCATCCACCCGCGTGGCCGGCGCCGTCCTCGTTGCTGCTGCTGCCGCTTATTCTTCCTCCTCCTCCTCCTCTTCCTCCTCCTCCCCCAGCCAGGTCAGTGTCTTTCTCCTTTGGGCTGCCTCCTTGTTTCCCCCCCCCCTCCCTGTCTTCCTCCTCCTCCTCCTCCTCCTCTCCCGTCGGTCCAGACCTACCACGGAGGCCCCACAGGGGCGGGTTCCCTCCCGCCGTTGGGCCAAAGGAGTTGGTGGGTGGTGGAGGTCCTTGCCAGAGGAGCCCCCCCCACCTCTTGGGTGGCGACAGTGGGCGCCAGCCTCCCCCTTGGTCGAGAGGAGGGATTGGTGGGGGAGAGGAGAGCCTTGGGCCAGACTCCCTTCCCTCTCCCTCCCTCTCTGCCTTTGAGCCTGGGGTGTGGGGGGAAAATCCTAATTTGGGGAGGTGGATTTCAAGGGCACCTCTCTTAACTTTCTGGGACTGCAGCAAATACTTCCAGGGGGCGGGGTGGTCATTTCTCTGATTCAGAGTTGGAGACTTTTTTTGCCTTTTCCTTTTGGGTCTTTCCGGATAACTACACTGCTCTCTCCCCAGTCAACCTTAGCTGTCCTAATGTATTTTTAAAATCCTGCCCCTCTCCCCCAGGACTCCTCTTCCTCTCTCTTCTTCCCCCTTTCAGCATTGAAGTATTTGGCTTCTTTCTTGCAGAAGCCATGGGTTCCCCCCTTCATGCTCCAAAAAAGAAACTCGCCCTGCTCTGAAAAAAAAAACTACACTTAATGTTGTCTTCTTCCTCACCCCACCTTTCCGCCCCCAAATTATGGTGAGAAATAGTCTTGCTTGCTTTCATAGTAGTGACTAAGGGCTTGTTCACCATCAGTGCCGTACTTAAGTAGCAGTGCCCATTACCGCTCAACTGGTAAGCTTGCCCTACAAGTTTAGCTGTGTAAAAAAAAAAGAAGTGTGATTGGTTGTGTTTTATCCGATAGGACAAAAGCTCTGCTGTGGCACAATTTAAGGTTGTGGCATGGTTGTAAGTCTTGAGTTAATTTGCAGAACTCTTGATTCAATAGCAGCAGTAACTATTTTGTAGTTCGCCTGTATCGTGCCAATGTGGACTTTAAAAATGTTCATGGCCTCAGATGTCTGTCAACGTGAGTGTACTTGGTTTTGCTTCTGGGGGATGGCTGTACTAAAAATGGTAGATATACAGTATATTGGGTAATTCCGTAACAATATGATTTTCTTTTAAATAATGTGTTCTGAGTTTTAGACTTATGTGCTTCTTGTCATAAGAAGAAAGACACTTTTGTGGCTTCAAACTGAGTTCCTCCTGATTATGTTAAAATCGGTTGGCATTTAAGTTTTGTGTTGCTATGGTAATGTAATGGTTGGAATGGGTTAGTAAATATATAATCTTCATAACCAATTATGAGTTGCTGTAAATCTCACTCTGGAAAAAAATGTCTTAAGACTGTCTATACTGTAATAATCTAGTTTCAAAATTTTTACTATGTTTAACAAATGTAATCCTGCACAGAAAAAATTAATGTGAAACTAGTAAGAATTGGGTTTTTTCATATATATCAGGTGTGCCTAATTTTATACAGCATTGCAACTTATTCTTGAAGTTATTTTATACAGTACACACACACACACACACACACAAACACACACACACAGCATCCTTCTCCCCCTTTTCCTAACTCACATAATCTGATTATAGCTGTAGTATTCATTAAAATGCTAACATTCTCAGACAGGTTTTCTACTATCCTTATTTAAAAACTTTGCTTTGCTCCAAACTGTGGTGTTCTGTTTGACTAAGGTGTTTGTAGTATTGAAGATCTTATTAATAAACAAGACATTTTTACAAGCCTGTTTGTATAGTGGTTAAGGCATCAGGCTAGAAACTGGGAGACCAGTGAGTTTTAGTCCTGACATAGATATATACAAAGTCAGCAGGGTGACCTTGGGACAGTCACTTTTTCTCAGCCTGAGGAAGAAGACTGTGGCAAATCACTTCTGTAAAACCTTGCCAAGAAAACTGCAGGGAGTTGTCCAGGCAGTCTACAAGAATTGGACACAATTGAACAGGAGGAAAGGGGGGAAAGGGCACATCTTACTGGTCAAAAAAAAAAAAAGAAGCCTAATTTAAATATCCCAACTGTGTTATTTAATTGGAGCTTTATATATTAGATTTAAAAATGCATCTTCTACCCCATAATGCATGGACCTGTTGCATGTGTGCGGTTTATACACTGCATATATATTTTAGAAACTTGGACCTATAAAGTTCTGAAGTATAGTTTTCTAGAATCTGTCAGGTATATTGTTTAAATGAAATTAATATTGTGATAGTGGAAATGACCAAATTTTAAACTTTTCCCCCCTTTTCTTTATCAACTTTACTGTTAAGAAAGTTCCAAGGATTCCTCGGCATGTTTTAGGATACACAGTCAGTTAATGGAGCACATAGGGCAAGGCTATTGATCCATACAGCCCTGTGCAAACATGCTTTTTCACGAGGCAACTGGACTGTCTTGTTTTTCTTTGAAGACATTTCGCTTCTCATCCAATAAGCTTCTTCAACTCTGACTGGATGGTGGAGAATGGAAGGATTTATACTCTTTGCAGATAGCTGGTCATTTGCATTCTTTTAGAGAGTTGTTGAGGCCACCAGGAGGTTTATCTGTGTCATCAGGGTCACCTGAGTAGTGCGGATGAGTGTGGAGCCGTCTTGGAACTGCTGAAAGGACTGTGTTGTTAATTGGAGATAGATGATTGTATCCCTCCCTCTCTGTTGAGAGAGGGCTGTTCAGTTTTGACATAGATGGCCTCTTTGACCCCTCTTTCAAACCAACTGTTCTTTCTGTCCAAAATGTGGGCTTTGCTGTCTTTGAAAGAGTGGCCTTTGTCTTTTAAATGCAGATGGAAGCTGTCTGCAAGGAGTATAAACTCTTCCATTCCCCACCATCCAGTCAGCTGAAGAAGCTTCTTGAATGAGAAGTGAAAAGTCTTCAAAGAAAAAAAGAAAGTCCAGTTGCCTTGTGAAAAAGCACCTTTGGGACCTGGATGACCGTGAATCTCCATAGACAATACTCCTTTGAATATTCACATAACAATTGTGCTTTCCAGTTGGAGGTAGGGAATAATATGATCCATTTGTACTGGTGCTCTGATTGAATAATTTCTAATAAGCATGAAGAGCTTGTATGGTCTAATCTGTGGTATATTATCCAGTTGTGTGTACTTTTTTTATATAAAAGTTTTCTATTTTCTGTTCAGATTAAAAATAGCCTAATTTATTATTTAAGTCTTCTAAGGAAATATGTCTAACCAACCGCATTCCTGTCTTTTGCAGTTCTAGGCTAACCCTTCCCCATTATCTTAGGCATTTTAAGTATTTCAGTATTCTCAAGACTTTTATGAGTTTTTTTTTTAAATTTCTTGGCATGTGGAATTAACTTTTGTACCCTGCTAGTGGCTTAGGTTTTGTCTTTGCATTTTAGGCAATGTTGGATTTTGTTATTTTGCTATCATCATTTCAGTTATTGATATTGTATGTTAAATGGCAGAGAGTGTAGAGCACAGGTCTCAAACTCGATTGTGCCACATGACACATCACAACGTTTTTTGCCTTTACAGAGCTGGTGTGTGTGTGGCCTGCGCATGATGCATTTGGCCCGCGGGCCACCAGTTTGACACCCCTGGTCTAGAGAATTCTGTATTATAGGGCATGGAATACATCTGATAGACAACTACATACAATGTGAAAAACCTTCAGTATAATAGTATCATAATAATACATGGGTTAACTTCATGTTCAGCTATGTGAAGGTAAGCAGGGTGAGCTTCTATGAAGCTTCATGTTCTTTGTATAAATTTTTTATCTTCAAGGAAATAAATTACAAGTTTTGAGGTGCCTTTATTAGTCATCTCCAGTGTTACGCCAATGTGAAACACTCTACATACTGTTTTGGCATCCAGAACTGAAACTGAGGCAGTCCTAGTGAAATTCACTCTAGGTGAGGAAAGAAGGGAAGATCAGTCTTGTCATATTTTATTTATTTATTTATTATTATTATTTATGAGATTTATATACCGCTTTAAGTGCGAGCACTCTCTAAGCGGTGTACACCAGTAAGCACTGTATATATATTTACATTGCCCCCAACAATCTGAGTCCTCATTTTACCTACCTCGGAAGGATGGAAGGCTGAGTCAACCTTGAGCCGGTGAGATTTGAACCGCTGACCTGCTGAATACAGTCAGCTAAAGTGGCCTGCAGTACTGCATTCTAACTGCTGCGCCACCTCGGCTCATATTTCTCAGTTGAACTCCTGGTACAGCCACTAATAGTCATATTTCAGAAAGCAGCATATATTCTGATCTCTTTGACTCTGTGGTAGTCAAAAGGAAGGCAGGTTGTATAATAAATTCTTACTTCCCATTTACTTTTGTCATAGTTCATTTCTGAAAGGCATGAGCATGAAACTGATGTATACAAGTAGCCCTCAACTTATGACTTCAATTGAGCCCAAAATTTCTGTTGCTAATTAAAGCAGTTAAGTGAATTTTAACCTCATTTTATGACATTTTTGCCACAGCTGTTTAGTGAATCACTGCAGTTGTTAAGTAAATCATGTCATTAATCTGGCTTCCCCCGTAGACTTTGCTTGTCAGAAGCTATTTGGAAAGGTTACAAGTGGTGATCACGTTATCCCAGGACAGTGCATCTGTTATAAATACATGTCAGTTGCCAAGTGCCCGAATTTTGATCACGTGACCAAGGGCATGCTGCAGTGTTGTAAGTGTGAAAACCAGTCATAAGTCACTTTTTGGGGTGCCATTGTAACATTAAATGGTCACTAAACGAATGGTTGTTAAGTGGAGGACTACCTGTTCTATCTTAAAGAAAAACGTATTAATGTAATCTTGACCATTTTGTCACATCTTCATTGGCTCAATAGCTTCCTCCATAACTTAGCCAGCAGATAATGCTGGTTCTCTGCGTGAACCAGCATTATCTGCTGGCTTAGTTAAGAAAATGTATGTCAATAAATAGTTGTTCTTCAATATGAAAATTCTATTCTTGTTGCCTGAAAAACTTTTGGTTAAAGAATGCCCTATCCTTTTTTTTTCTACTGTCAAGGGGAAAAAAGCCTTATTTATTCCCTGTTTAAGCCCTAAACTTTAAAATGAGGAGCACAGGTTCTCTAGTAGTTACGCAGTTAAGAAAAATGAGTCAATGTTTTCTCAGATGCGCCTAGTACAAACAGGTTTGTGTGTGTTTGTGTTTGTGTATGTTTGTGTGTGTGTGAGAGAGAGAAGCTTTAAAGCACAGGAATTGGAATTTAGGGCAAAACCTTTACTATCACCTTTTTCACAATGTTATTTTCCCTGCAAAAGTATATCCCTTGTATTCCATCTCATCCAAAAAATGATCATCCTGTTCTGATGAACAGTTTGTACAGTTGATTAAAAAAAAAAGTGGTTAAACTTTTACTATCTGATCTTGAGCTGTAAATAACAGTGCAGGCAACATGTGAATGCTCGCACATAAATAAGAGCCGGTCACACGTTTTACAGAAGAAAATTGTGGAATGAGACGGGAAACCTGTGAAATTTGAAATTTCAAACTGTAGTCAATGACTTTTATTTTTTTAAAATGTTCCAGCATGTTTTAAAGTGAATCTGTGTATCCCACATAAATTGCACACTGTAGGAACAGATTTACAGAGGGTGTTGCTCCTACTCTGTAAGGTTGGTCTTCTTTTTTAGGGAAAGGTTTCAGGGAAAGTAGGTTAAGAACAGCATTCACGTTTTTGATGCAGGATTCTTCTGTATGGGTCTATATGGGTGATGGCATTCAGACACGTCTTCCCAAATAGCCTTCTGAAGCAGAACAGATGGAAA